ATAACCTATATTGGAGAGAGGCTAAGGAAAAATCAGTTGATCAAGTTATTATGTCGCATAAATACATTTACAATGAGCTTGAGAATAGCATGGAAATTTAGCATAATAAAAGTACGGTGAAGAGAAAGTGATTTTAGGTGAAGTGGATCCCATGGAGAATTTCAGCACAGAAAATGAAAATAAAAAAACGACAAAATATTGACTGATTAGATTATTTCTTTTAGACGATTTCACCATTTACAACAATCACATTACTGAACTCAATGATTAATGACTGAGTCGTAAATAACGATGAGGTTTTAGGACTTCTGATTAAATGTATAGATCGATGTAAAACCACCACCATCAGTTTCGATTTCGTGAGAAAAAACTGTTTCATAAATGCTGTAATTGAGCCTTACTAATTATACTGACATATATACTAATATTTAATGAATCAGTATATTGTTCATATCAAGATTAATGTTATTTAGCAGTATTTTATTACGGTTGACATTTTAAAAAGTGCAAAACTTTCTAGATTCATTAGTATTGTTTGCTTGAATCTTTCCAATGATGTTCAGGACTTCAGTTGATCAGAGTTATCATTAACTCTGGAATGCAGACACATCCAGCTGATTCGTTGCAAATAGGATAAAACGCGAGTCCTGATTTCCACTGCTAGTCACCTTCCATTTCTGCTTATAAAACCTTTCAAATTACTCACCATTGATATTCTTGGGCGTTGTGGATTATCCAAGAATATACTGGCTCTAAAGTTCAAACACAACGATACGTCTGTCGTAGAGTCGAATTCTCCTCATTACAAACGTTTTCATTAGACTATAATCATCAAGATCCTACCATTCTTTTTCACTTTAGTCCTGAATGTCCAAAAAACAAATTCTGTAAGAAAGATATATTTGGTGAAGATCTCAGAACAGTTAATTTAAATTAGAGCTAATTCAGTTACATAACAATTAAGTTTAATGATTATGATAAATTATAGAAGTTATGGCAACTTGGACTGATGCATATATATGCCTGCTCCTAAGTTGCAGATGACTGACTGACTGACCTTAAAACACAAAATCACAGTTAATTAATTGATACAATGAAAATACATTGAAAGTCAGTGAAAAGAATTCATATTAAATTAATACAAAAGTGTGTTGGACGGAAATTGCATTCAAAATGAGCACAGTTTTACTATGCAAATATATTCACGGTTGAAAATTGTTAATTTATCCTATTAATTACATTAGTATATATTGCATAACATTTAAGGTATTCTGTGTACTTGTTTTTGATTTAAAGTCAATTAACTATATTCCAGCTAGATTGGTCGGCAAAACCTTTTCTGGGGAGGCCTGTAGGCCTTTATGGAATGGATTACGTATTTTCAAGACTCATAAATCTACCATATGGATATGATTTTGTTAAGAACTGCGCTCCCGCAGGTCTTTTGAGTGTATGTAGGTCTTGCAACAAGAAGAGCAAGTGAAAGGTCTTTGACGTTTTCATTTACACCGGATAGATATAGTCTACATGCATAATAGTTAACACAACGATTCTCATCCGAGTATTCCTTTGCATACATAGAGGTATACTTAGATTGTGAGCAAATATACGTTATATGTACACCTGTAACGCACAGGTTTTATCCCATGCATCCCAAAGAATACATATAGGTATATTCACTCACTTGGGGGGTTAGATGTTCACCGCTCCCTTTGAAACGTATTGACTACAACAGACTATCACTTACACATAACATGTATATCATTCAGCCCATGGCTAACTCTCCAGTACATCATGACACACACATAAGCATAAGCATCTTCTCAGGAAGGTTGTTGGTAGCCTCTGCGTAGTCTTGCTACTATTTATTATTATTATGACTTCGACCTGAAAAATTAGGCTGCTGATTTCATTAGATACAGAGCAGGCAATGTTTCAGCTGACGATTCCATTGTACAACACCACACACATGACCTTTGAATATACCTACATTAACGAGCTACATAAACCTGAGAACTTCCTCAATTCTTATACATAAGCGTACAAATCAGGTAGCTCGGTGCCATTAAGTGAGCCCCAAGTTGGAACCCGAGTTAATCAAGGATACAACGGAGTGGATTATTCGTCCGATCTCCATAGACCGCCTCAGTTGTCTCCCTATTCAGCAACTCCGAGAGGAAGGCTTAGTTCTGATCTAGATGCCTTGATGTTACTCAAATCTCTGCCTGTAGCACTTCTAGTATTATTGTCGGTCCCAAGCTCGGGTAAAGGAGGAGGACTGAACATGAGGTTAGCAACACAATCCCATAGAAAACAACCTTGCTAATAAAACTCTAACCAGAATAAACAAATTAATCCATCTAAACTCTGTTCTCTGAGTTGAAGGATCTTCATCCATGATGAAAGCCGAGATTTTTCGGGAGTCAATAAACCGATACCCTTTCTAACAAATGGAGGAACAAATTTTATAAGCACATAGAATGTCTGGACAATGTGGGGGACGGAAGGATCCGTCAAATAGCTGATAAAATGAGCAGATGCAACTTCACGGTGTTTGGAATCAGTGAAAATCATTAGACATAATCTGGACATAAAAGGATAAATTCGAAAGAGATGATTTTGTGCTTTGGCCACAAAGACGAAAATGCGCACACTCAAGTTGTTCTGATGCTGTTCAATGAATCACGTAATGCACTTATAGGATAGGAATCTCATGGGTCCAGAATCATCAAAACATCCTTCAAAACAAGGAAGGAGGAGATTACAACGAATGATATCCAATGTTATGCACCCATCAATGATGTTAACGACAACGATAAAGATCAGTTTTATGAGAGGCTGAAATTGATCATGGAAAAGCGTTCAGGACATGACCTGACCATCCTGATGGTAGATGATGGAAGGAATTCATGTCACAAATTGGATACACAGAAGCAAACAAGCAAGTGAAGAGGAACATTGAAGCTGACAGACAGAAATATGTGGAAGATCGAGCAAGATAACGAAATATGTGACACGTATATGATACAACGAAGAAACTGGCAGGCGAATTCAGTAAACCGGAGTGAACTGTCAAGAACAAGGAAGACAAGTCAATCACCGACATTCAAGATCAACCAAACAGGTTTGTAGATCACTTCGATGAACTCTTGAATAGACCAGTCTCGTTGAATCCATCGGACATCGAAGCAGCAAACACAGACATTCCTTTGACTGTCTCCCCAACAACTATCGAAGAAATCAGTAAGGTCATCGGACACAGGAAGTGTAGGAAAGCAGAAGGACCTGAAAATATACCAACTGAAGCTCTCAAGTCAGACATAAAAGTAACCGCAAACATGTTCCACGTTCCATTCAGGAAGATTTGGGAGGAAGAACAAGTGCCACCGATAGACTGGAAAGAAGGATAACTCCTCAAGATACCAACGAAACGAGATCTGAGCAAATGTGAGAACTACAGAGGCATCACACCACTATCAATGCAAGGAACAGTTTTCAACGTGATGTTGCTGAACCGGATGAAAGATTCCCTAGACGTCCAGCTTCGAGATTAACCAACCAGACTTCATTCGCATCCATCATTAACCGAAAAATCCTGACACCACTGATCATTAATGAACGATCGATTGAATGGAACTCATCTCTATACGTCAACGTAGATCACTACGAGAAAGCATTTGACATTGTGGATAGGATAAGCTTATAGAATCTTGTTCGACAATCTGGTGTAACTGAGAAGACTGTCAACATATGGAATTCATACGACGGACCACACCGTAGAGTAGTTCATGGAGGACAGCTAACAGATGCATTGCAAGTGCGGACTGGTGCAGGACAAAGTCGTTTACTCTTCTCCTTTCTCTAACTTCTGGTGGTCGATTGGATTATGAAGACCTTTACATCTAAGGGGAAGCACTAAATACAATGAACAGCTTGAATGCAACTAGACGATTTGGACCTATTTTATCTACCGCATACAGACCAGCGAATGCAGGTGAAGTGAGTCTGTGTAGCATCAACCTCTACAGTAGTAGAACTCAACATGCAAAAGGGGAAAAGTAAGATCCTGAAGTGCAACACAGCAGGCACAAGTATTCATAAAGAATTGTCTACGTAAGATACTCCATATACGTTGAATGGATATGTCAGCAACAGCCTTCTGTGGGTGAGAATAAACCAGCTTCCAGCCAAATAGGAAGTTGGGAAAAGACGTTGGATCTGGAAAGGACAAAAATTACGGAAATCATCAAGCTGCATCACGAAACAAGCGCTGACTTGGAATCCTGAAGGGAAATTGAAAAGAAGAAGGCCAAAGAACGCATTGCGCCGAGAATTGGTAGTAAACATCAAAAGGATGAATAGTAACTAGAAAGCAATGCCCAAGACAGAGTTCGATGGAGAATACTTGTGGGCAGACTATGCTCTTCGACCAGGAGTAACAGGCGTAAGTCAGTGAGTAAGTAAGTAGGTAAGTGTAGAGGCTAGTTTCCTCTATATCTGACTCCAATAAATAGTATCCCGTTAACTGAGTATTTAATGCAGGTTAAATCTACTAGTAAAATTATGGATTTAGTCGAGGTTATTCAAAAGCCTGAACACCAGTTATAGAGATAGTTTATTGGTAAAGATTGTTAAAATCCGCAAGCATGGTGCTGATTAGAATTCACTGGTGTATAACAGTAGAAGATTCTTGAAAATTGACGGTTATGCATTTCGAAAACGAACCCAGTCGATAAATCGATCACTACTTAACTAAAAATAAAAGATTAAGTAATAAATATACTAATGTACAGAATATTTCTAAAAAAATTTGTCATACGCCAATAGAATTTTACGTAAAGATTGTCTAATCAGTGATGTATATTTAATAGGTCACAAATGTTCTAAATATTGGATGATGTTCTCATTCGGGTAAAATGGTAAATGTATATAAGGTGAAATTTGAATAGAAGAGAATTTGTTAATTGCCAAATTCATTATTCTAAAAAAGTTAAAAAAGAATGCGCTCTGGTCGTGCAGCTTGGATTGGGTTAAATACAGCCTCATATATATGTGAATTGGTATTTTTGGGTTTGGCAATTGCAGTGCAAATATCACCCGATTGGGCTGTTTACGATGTTTCATACATTGGTGTCGTCAATGATTATAATCAATTAAGTCGCTCTCGTGGATTATGGAAGCAATGTATTACTAATCAAATAGGTAAGGCTTCAAGTGAAATATCTTTATTAATATAGTTTACTATCAATTGTAATCTACTGTAAATAAATATATATAATTACTCTCTTGATTGTTAGAATAATCGTTTGTTTGTTTCTGTGACCATACATCTTATAGACTGAAATCAAATGAAAGACGAATGAGTGAATTTCAATGTAAATAGTAGAAAATTGAGGAATTGATAAATGATTGGTCACAGTCTAGGATAGAAACTTCAGGTGAGACTAATTTATGGACGACTTTTGAGCGATGCCAAAGTGACCTAGAGAGTGTCTACCTACTAACTAGAGCCAAATGAGGGTTATAAGACAGTTTGAAGAATAAGCATTACGACTCGCAGTTGATGGTTAGGGTTGGGAATTATATTTACGGTTTTTTCATCATGAATTGACATCAATAGCCTCAAGACGCTATTTGGCCAAATGGATGAGTGAATTTCGCGCCAAAATCCAAGGTCTATTATTCTAAATCTGATTGATTCGTCCATAAATTATAGTCTTCGGATAACAATATCATTAAAATTCATTTTCCAATGTACAGATGACCGATCCAATATAATTGACGATTTATGTGGGAATCGTGGTGAAGAAGTCTGATAGAAAACGCAATTGCAGTTAAAATATACAATCTGAAAAGGCTATTTATAATAGTGAGAATGTTATAACAGTAATTTTAAGAAAACAATGTGTTGACCTATATTAATTATCTAGACAGCGTTTTATCTAGAAACAATGGATTGCCAAATGTGGATGAGGTCATGATTTACGGGTGATCATTGAGTGATTGTGAAGTGACCTTGTGAAACTTCGACTAATTATTACTCTCAGTATAGGGTTATGGATTATTATGAGGAATGAGAAATAAGCTTTTTACGTTTGAGCTAAGAAACAGTCAGAGTTGTCATGACGAACTGACATCGAGTCTAATATGTGTAATATTCAACACTTTTATGATATAAATTAAAATTTACAATTTTAATAGACAGTTCTATAATGAATTCCATTTGGGATTGTTTTGAGAAATATCTATTTATGAAATATGCATTATCAAATCGTGAATTCAGCGTTCATATCTGTTATCATACTGAACATTGAATGTCCACAGCATCCATAGTCTGATTGAAAACTTTCTAATTAGTTTAATAACAAGTACGACTGCTGGCACATTTTTAACGCGAATGATATGAATTTTAATCTTAATCATAACGGCTTAGATTATCCGTAACGTTCTCAATGCTCAGTAAACAATTTTCCATCCATCGCTTCCGACCATTCTTTCGTTCATTAAATGGATGAGCGATGCTTACTGAAGTTTATTGCTCACTACAGATTTCATCTTAAATATATGGAGTTATCTGCAACCATTTCCCATACATATCCTGGTAAATAGCAGTCCATATCACCAGATAGAAAGAGAAATGTTGTTGAAATGAAACTTCGAATGGAATCTTTGGTAGACAGTAGTCATTCACTGGATTGACTGAGAAATCACCCAAAGCATCGAGTCCGCAATACCTATTGGATATTATAAACGTTAAGGTAAACTTCATCAACCAGAGTTGTTTATTTACTATTGATACTGCTTATTTGGTGTTGAACATGAGTAATTGATAAATAACTCATGATTAGAAATAAGTTTCTACTTTTAGACTGTTGCTTCCCAAATCAGTACATTATTCAATGAAAGCTAACATATTGTCCTTAATAACACATCGATTGTTTTAAACAAATGAACACATTGATTTGATGGAAGAGAAATCTATTCACTTCATTTCTTTCCTTATATGTATTTTTAGTAAGTTCACCATACAATGGTCAATGTTATGCTCTGGAAAGTAGTACAGAATCCGGCAGCTACAATGGTAATGTTCAACCAATATTATGTAAGTCGGTAAATTGTTTTCTAAAATATATACAGAACGATGGATGGGAAAATACTTTTTGAAATGAACATGAAATTCGTCACTAGTATAGGGGAGTCGTGGATATTGTTAGATTTTATAGTTTTACATGATGGACTAATTATTAGAGATCAGGAAGCATTGGACAACTGATCGTCGACGTATGAGAGAAATGAGGATTGCTCATGAACGACGCCACCGATAGCCGACTTCACAAAGTTCAGATGTCTAAATGAGTGCGTATCCTTGGGCAACTATGTTGACATTCGACTGTTGACAATTTGACCTTCAATCACTTCTCGATATTGGTCTCATACCTGACACGGTTGAATCTCACTAATCATGGCGTCTATCACTCCTGTGAGTTAGTGATGCAAGACTATGAAATATTTCATTTGAGATCTGGTTGAACATGAATTCATAGTTATCTCACTATTTTGAAAATCTTCAGTCAGTTTAGATAAGGAAGACTACCATATGTTAAATTTCAACGAGTTAGGATAACTTCTCAGAATTACTAGACATTCTGTATAGGATCGTGGTAATAGAATAGGCTCGAAAGATAGCCATTTGAAAGTTGTATATCATGTGAGTGTACTCTTGACAACCTATTTGTGCAACATTAGAACTCCAAAATGATGTAAATATGAATCATCGGATTCATCATGGTAGCTGACTGAACTTCGATGAACTATTGAATAGACCAGTTACACCGAATCCATCGGACATCGAAGCTACACACACAGACCTTCCTATAACTATCATCCACCTGTTATTTCTTTACAGGACGGCTTCTTGTCACGTGATTTATTCACCAATGGAAATACGACTTATTCAGTCTGTGCTAAAAGAATAACATCCGCCTAGTATAAGTAGCCTTGGTTAGCATCATCGATTAACAAGTAAGGTTCTGATGCAGCTGTAAATGCACAGATTTGAGAAATAAGGGCAACATTCTTACAGCTGAAGAATACGTGGAACTGAAAACATCTGTGAGCCAACACCAGAGTCATTATTTCAATTTGAACATCAAGACAGTACCACTGATTAGAGCTGAAACATGGAGAACTACAACAACCATTATCAATAAAGTACAATTATTTGTAAAGAACTATCAGCCCATGATACTCTAGATCCGTTCAACAGACAGACAATGACGGAATCATCAAACTGCATTACTAGGTAAGCCCTAACTTGTATTCCAAAGTATATTGAAAAAGAGGCAGACCAAAATAACCTTGCTTCAGAAATTCAACACACACATAAAAAATAAATGAACATCACTTGAAAGTCGAGACCGGAACAGAGTAATTGAGTGATTCTTGTCGGTGACTTACGTGCCATGAGGGGTAACAGATGTAAGTAAGTAACAATATAGGATTCTCAGCGTAAACTTCATCACTAGCATCAGAATCAGAATCAGATACCGCACAACACAACGGAGAAAATGAAGTTAAATAATTATGTCGCTTAAATAAATGAAATTCAGTATATAAATATGTCGATTACTATTTTTTTCATTATTCGCAAAATGATTGACCTGACAAAGTACACAGTACTGTTGCATTTATAACACTGGTGCTTCACATGATTCCTTGTCTATTATTAATGAATGATAACATAAAATTTAACTCGGAAAATGTTATCAACTTTTGTTACAGCAATGAGAACAGCTATAAACGCACTGCAAATCATTACAATCATATTGGTTTTCATCATCATCGTTATAACGTGTGTCTTCATAATCGTGACATGGAAGAAACCAGAGAAATTCAAACCACGAACAGCTCAATATACAGCTTTGGGTGGAGGTGCCGCATTATGGCTTATAGGTAAATTTGTTTCATGCGTATTACGTCGTCTTGTAATATTATAAGTGGAACAGTGCTTCGATCGTAAAAGTATCGAGTTTTCAACCAATAGGTCCCAGTTTGAACTCACTTGGTATCACTTCAGTTCGGGTTTCACTGATAATAATATTGCTAGCATTTGAACAATGATTGTGAACAAACACCTAGTGCTTTAATCTGTACTGGATAGATGAGTTATGTTGTCATATGTGTATAAGTATATTCGTCACAAAAAATCAGTATGAATTTCAGATGTGTGTGTTTATTTACAAATCAACTTTCAACGTTTCCGCTCATTGAATTTCATTTTCTTCAACCAATTAGGTTAGCTAGTATGTAAACTTCGTGTGTCTGAGATACATGATTCATACAGTGTAAGCTGGGATTGTGTTCTGAACTCATATTCGTAGGGTAAAGCAAGAAGAACCAATAAAAACTCAGAGTTAACACCATGCAGCTCGTACTGGTTAACGAGTCATTAGTTTGACACAGTACCAAGGTCATACAAATCGATGTTCTAATTGACGATTTAGTCAGGTGATCATTGGTAGGTCAAAAGGCCTAACAGAACTATTAAGTGAGTATGAAGCACTGATCATACAATGTTGTAGAAACAGAAACAAATATCGTGTTAGCTCCAAACTGCTTTCTCATCAATCTTCATTTCTAACTATTCACTATGAATTTCAGATGAATGTGTATGCTTATTTACAGATCAAGTTTCAACGTTTTCGCTCATTGAATTTCATTTTTTTGATCCAAATAGGTTTAATTTATTTCATCAGTCTTCTAATATATTACGAAGATATGACACAAGAAAATTATCGACTAGATACTAAGCTGACATCAGCCAGATCTGCATGGACAACGGTAAGATTGAAACGACAAGTAGATAGCTTTGTACCTGTTTACTATTGTCAATAGGTTGTAAAATATTGTCAAATATTTCAACACATACTACTAAAATTTCATATTGAGTTACTCATTTGAGTTGTGTGCGTAAGTTTGCAAGCATCGACTACAATCTGTTATGAGAGATCACTGACGATATTCGTTACACTCTCAGATCTACTCTATTTGTCCAGATATGTAATATTCACTGCAACAGTATGAATGTGACATTACTATAATAGTCCTTTCAATAAATTTATGATTTATGATAGTGTTCAGTTTTTCGTTGAAGCCAATTTCAGGAATCTTACTTACCATTTAATTCTCGTATAAGACATCCAGTATTCTGTCTTAAATATTCAGATGATCATTCAATGAGTTCAGACTAATGCCAAAACTCATGCATCGATGTGAAACAGAGTTCAACCAGATTTTATTTTGAGATTATTCTACGTATTGATAGACAAGTAACATTCGAAGTACTGGAATCATGTTGCGAGATTTCGAATATTGAAGTTAAGCACAAATCTTAATGTGGATGAAATGAGTAGTTGTAAGGAGTGATTTCAAGTTCTTCAGTTCAATATTTCAATCTGATCATTGGATGCCATTCTACCTACCGACTTGATAATATGAGTGTTCGATAGTGTTCTGGCTATTGTCCAAACGGTCTTTATGCTAATCACACCTTGTGATGATCGATCGTGATATCATGAGCTAATTGCAATGTCCACTTTCACATCCTTTAATCTGTGAAAATTTCTGAACTACTCCAATTCTCATGTGAACCATATTTGTTGTAAGTTTTGCATGCATCAAACTGACCCTGTGACATAACAACCAATTGCAGCACAAGAGGAAACTACCTATACAATCTCACAGATTAAACAGACCACTCATGTGATTTTCATGATCTGACACACAAAGATCATGCTAACAACGTTCAATTGCTTCATGCATACAACATTTTCAGAGAATACGAAACAAGATCCTTCGTCTGAAACATTTAAATCAGCATGTGATTAGTTAGTAATTAGTTATAGGATTAACATTGCATTGATGCCCATACGACACATCATGTTACGGATGCATATATAGATGTAAAGCCTCTCTGATTATAATGATCATATGCTCACAAGTGACTAGCTTCAAGAGGCATTTCCTGAAGATCTAGTGAGAATCCGTGGCCAGTGGAGTTCAACTGGATCTGTTGTGAGATAGTAACTCACTGAAGGCATTGGTGGATGTGTCGCTCAATTTCGGGAATTAATTGAAATCAGACATTAACACCGTTGGATGCCGGCTCAGTGGTTTGAGGTTTAAGCGTTAGCGCGCGAGAAATATCGGTCCTGTGTACAAATCTCGCGAGAGGGGATCGTGCATGCGCACTGCTGAGGAGTCCCACAATAGGACGAAACGGTTGTCATGTGCTTCCAGGCTTTTCATGGTTGTCTAGCTTCAATTGGTTCATGATTTTAGCTTTTAAATTACTATAATACTCACAAAAAACCCCGTTTGATATAATTAATGTGACGAATGATGGTCTTCAATTGAGTGGATGGGTTCGGATAATTGGAAATTAATGAGTATTTTTTGTACATGACCAGTCACACTCTCTAGTTGGAAGCTACTAACCGTCACATTACATTACGTTGCATTACATAAATACATCATTTCTTAATGGATGGATCCACAAATGCATTACAACAATCAAAATTTAATGTCGAATGACGTTTTACTGAACTCTTGTGGAGAGCGATTTCTGAATTCACATAAAATTCACAAACTACTCACATTATACAAACCAATCAATCTAATCATCATTGGAAGACTTGAACATTCTGTTTTGAACTTCGTTAAAAGTTGAATGTGTAAACAGTGAGAGTATTTGATTGTAGATGATATGTATCTGTAAATAGCCCTATCTCCATATAGCTGGTAAGTAACTGGCTTGAAAGATGACGAAGTGTACTTATCAGTGATGATACTGAGAGCTTAAATAGGCAAATATTTTTTGGTATTATATATGTTTATGTTATAGAATTTGATTGATTTATAAATTTCTGCTTACCTAGATTGTTCGTGATAATACGGTATATTCACCTGGTGGTATGATACCAATGGCTTGGTCAGCTTGTATACTTATTTATGCTGGTAGTATTTTACAACTGATAGCAAGTACTCTACAGCAACCTCCAGTTCGAGAGGGGTATGGATTGTAAGATGATGAACAGAGAAATAATTCGACTTTGAAACTGAAAACACCCCTTTATAATCCAATATATTTTTGTGTATTTCAATTAGTTTCTTACTGCCATTGGATATTATTTCCACATGTGCACATGTGTAAACAGTGTTGCTTTCTATCACTGATTCCAATTGTTTCCTTTTCGTATAGTCAACAATAAGTTGATACTCTTTGAACTGTTATGATTTCGAATGTAATTGACGTAAATTATAATAATAATTATTATTAATAACACGATATATTCTGAAAATAGCAATTACAGAATTCATACCAGTTTACAGGCATAATGAGCTTGAAATAGATCGTGTAAAGGATAGATATGTGATATTAAGTTGTTTGATGTGTTCTAGTTGAAGAATAGTTTTTGTAGTCCATTTATAACGTTTATTACAGTTATGAAAGTGTACAAGTTGGAACTCTTAATTCACTTTAAGTGGAAATAAAATTCATATATCAACAGTGCATGGAAGGTCAATTTCTGAGTTATAATCAATCGATATCATCACTACAACATGTGTGAAAATAAAATGGAATCAGCGAGCACGAAACGACTAAAGGGATAATTACTACGATAGGTCAGTGAGTCGGCCAGCCGGGTGTACCATAATAAATGTGTCAGGTTATTTTGTGATAAACCATTCATATTACATATTATTCATATTATCTAAGGTTATCAGGAATGGTGTTGATGTTAAGTATCTACATGTAGGGAGGTTTACTTGGTGGGTTTGGTAATAAAATGATTAAACGTTAGAAATTCCCATAATCTCACTTGTGAAATGAGATATACTTTCAAGTGTAAGAATATTTAAAGCATTTTAGAGGAGAAGTAGGCATCGATGCAGCGAAAAGATGATGGCAGTGATTTTATTCCACGGACAGATTGCGGTTAATTATTCCAGTGTCTGGAAAGTTTAATGATAAAGTAATTAATATGAAGAGAAGATTTAGAATGTTATGGTTTCACTAATGACTAGGAGTTACGGATGATGTGAGTAGGAGTTTCTGGATGTTGAATAGCTTCATTGAATGGTTTATTAGTTATTTCGATGAAAAATGTTAGATTAAGTTTAAGTCTTCTCTTCTTTAAAGGGTCGAGTTCAAGTTCATCACATCTGTATTTATAGTTTACAGTATAATCAGTGCCACCACTGTGAAATGTAAGCCGTTCCTGGATAGACTTTAACTTTACCAGTAAGATATATTCGATTGTCTGATATGAATATTCGTAAACTAATCATACTGACTAGATGATTTTGTTTTTCAACATGTTTAAAATAATCTGAACACTAGTTCATTTAAGTACATAATAAACAAGAAACATATGACAAAAGTATTTATAAATGAATCTAGTTTACTCAACTACCTGCTTCATTTTTCGCCTTTCACATAAATAAATTAATCAGAATTCAGGTAACTCAGTTATCTGTGATCACTTCATCATTTTGAAATGAAGTTACATACTCTCAGTACACATGAATCGAAACCTTTTAAATTCACTGATTCGTGAAGTAAGAAGATCAATATATTAAGGCCTCACCACTTCTGTGATTCTTTTTAATTCCATCACTAAATTACTTCTTATATGCTCTAGACATTTTGATTAAGCTTTGGACATCCAGGTATATCAGTGACTTAGTCTCTTTAAAGCAAGTTGTCAGTCTTCAAAATTGGAAGTCTTTGATTCAAAATCTGGAGGGATAGGTTCTCACTACTGAAGAATTGAATAATATGGTAAAACATTTATTTAATGGTCCTTGGTTTTCAATGTTTCTTCAAGTGATATCATTTTTCATTGAAAAAGAAACAGTCGGAAATTCAAATAATTGTACTGTATGAAAACAGGACAGATTGGTTCAGCGATGAGTTCTCATTCTGGTCAACTTATTTTTACTCTATATAGTCGTTATTTATTTGTAGTTGTTAAGAGCTTAAACATTCATTGACAAGTAGATAAAATGAATAACTTTAGAGAAGGTTTGGGCAAATTGATCACATAAATTATTGGTATTGTGATGAGCTTAGAAACAGAAATAAGTCATTTGACGATGAAAGGCCAACAGAGAATGATACAGGGGAGAAGATGCTAACTTTGCGAAAACGAGAGTTTGAGAGTACAGTCAAATAAGAGGTACGATAAATTTCTATTGTATTCATGCTTTTGGGTTTTTTTTTCAGTCATATAATAAATGCTTCGAAGACGTTAGAAAGACGGAAATCCACTGTTTTTGGCAAGTTTCTACTTATCTTGTGGATGAGTTTATACGCTGATTTTGTTTTATCCATCAGAAATGTGTTCACGAAGTGTTCGATTATAAGACATCTTAACGATTAATTTTAATTTTATTTCAATCAAACCGCACAATGTTGTTAACTTCTTTCAGATAGGATATACATTGATCAATCCATATATCTAGTTTCTCATAAGTGAATTAATGAATGCATATAAAAAAGGTCAGGAGTAAGAGCCTATCCTTAAGATTATTTCTGAACATTAGTATTCTAATTTTTCCAATCTCATAATAAGAATAACACTTTTGAACTGTGTTGTTTTATCTTACTTATCTGTTATTATTCTTAATATTATTCTGAATAATAGATATACTATCTGTGTTCATTTTGAAAAATCACTATATGTTTGCGATTGTACAACTTTCGAAATAAATTCACCTATAAACGGAACTCATCTCCAATTCTTGTTTTCATCTGTATATGTTATTTACCTAAAGAATGAAGTGTTCTTCATAAGACTGTTTGAAATACATTATCAGTAATAGAGAGAGAGAGAGTAACTGTAGTTATTAACTATAAAACACTCATATATAAATATACTGTATTGAAATTCATTTGCAATAATGTAACTCTACAATATATATTTATATAATATTATTTGTGATATTTTTTTGATTGAGATCATGAACTGGGTGATGTCAGACCAACATTAAAAATCCTTGGAAGCAGTGGACAATCGTTCCGTCTTATTGTGGGACTCCTCAGTAGTGTGCATCCACCACCCCGCTCGCGGGATTCGAACTCGGGGTGCTCTAACATCAACCGACTTGTGATCTCAATAAAAAAAAACATAATCTCTTTTTGTAAGCAATGATGGACAGTGGCTGGCAGTGGAATCTAGGACGCGCGTTTCGTCCTAGTTGAGACTCGTCAGTTGGATGTACCTGCATCTCAGAGTTGATGTTCACTCTGGGACTCGAAGTCAGTACCATTCGCTTTAAACGCCACCGCGTTATCCACTTTTCTACTGAGTTCTGATAGCCAATTGTTTGTTCAATGGGGTGAATTTCAATTCACTTGGTATTATTTGGCTTGTATCTTCCCATTGAGGTTTAAGACTGCAATTGATCAGTCTGTTATTGGCATATGTACATACTGTGCGTATGCCTCGATATTGCCTTAATTCACAAGCTTTTTGTAAGCAATGATGGATAGTGGCTTGCTGTGGAATCTCTACAACCCCATACTGATATTTATGATATGTTGAATATATTTATACTCTTTAAAGTATAGTTTTAATAAATTATCATTTTACTACACAATAAATGAATACAATGCCAAAATCAATAAATCAAATTAACTTTTAGCATTGGTTACCTATATTCTTATCAATATAATTCGTCTACAATACAATACAGTAATGGTTTGTCTACAATTAATTAAAGGACACTTAATCTAAATAGTTACCCTCAATGAAATGACCTTAAATGAACTAAATTAGTTAGTTTGTTTTTTTGTTTTCATTAAAGATGTATCTACTAAATGTTAAACAACAAATTAAACTTGGTATTTAAATTATAAGCAAATAAACAATTAAAAAGAAAAAGAAGAAGAAGAAGAAAAACAAAACACCCCAGAAAACTCTTGAAAGAATGATGACATTAAATGATACTGAACAACTGAATAGTTTAGATTGTCAGGATATATTGTCTATCAATAAATTACCACTTCATGATCGATTTGAACATAAGGAGAATTCATGTAATTTATCTGTAACATCAAGTAAGTTCAATATGATCAATTTAAAGTTTAATGTTGATTAATAAACATTTGAGAATATAGAAATCATTGAAGTAATATAATGGTAATAAAATATGTTATATTCTAATCTATTTTCTTCATCGCTTGATTACATTCATTGGAAAGTAAGTTCAAACATTCTTTTTTCATATAAAGACAGATTATCCTTAAGTTCCAATCTTATCTTTCATATAAATATCCAAGAAACATTCATTTCATAATAATCTATTGATCTATGGAACGTCGATTAAACATCATTATAAATCACTAAAAAGTTTGTATTTGGTTTACTTACATAATTACTTACGCTTGTTACTCCTAACGGAGCATAGGCCACCAACCAACATTCTCTAACCCAATCTGTACTGGGAATTTCTTTCCAGTTCTATCCAATTCTTGTTCATTTTCCCCATGTCTATTTTCATTTCTCGACGTAATGTGTTCTTCGGTATTCCTCTTATCCTTTGGCCTTCATTATTCAAAATGATCAGAGCTTGACTTGTGACGGAGTTCGGTAATTTCCTCAATGTATGTCCTATCCATCTCCAGAACTTCTTCCTGATTTCTCCCTCCGCTAGGTTCTGGTTTGCTCTCTCACACAGTAAGTGGTTGCTGATAGTGTCTGGCGAACGGATCCGAAGTATTTTGTGTAGACAACTGTTAATAAACACCTGTATCTTCTGGAGGATGGTTTTCGTATTTGCTTTAACTATCATTAATTAATGAAATATATGTGACAGGAAATACTGACAGGTGTCTTAAATGTAGTTGCTTATTCAAATAGCAATTTGAATAAGGTATACATATGATATGTATGTCATTGTAAAAGTTAAGAGTTGATTATTTGAATGATATTTCAACCTAGTAATGCTGGATTAAGACTACTATTTAATGAAAGTTTCGATCACCACAGTGGAACACTATTCACTCTCTCTCTCTCTC